TGATTGAACCACAAAAATTCAACACAACCTTTGACTATAAACCTGCAATTCCTTAGTAGAATTTAAAGGAGTAGAGCTAGAAAAACTAGGAAGATAAGAAAATTTTGATATATGAGACTCCTTTTGAAAAGAATAAAAAGGAATATGCTTAAGGAAGACAACATTGTGGGATAACGTGTTCGTCGAGCCTCCAGATCACAACATTAAAAACCCTTATGTTCGTCACTGTAGCTAATGAACACGCACTTAGCTGGTTGCTGGGACAATTTGTTTCTTTCCAAGCAATGAAGATGAACAAAACAAAGGCATCCAAATGTACACAAGTATGTGTATGGAGGGGAATGAAATAAAGATTCATATGGGAAAATATTCTCAAGCACAGGAGTGGGCAGTCTATTAATCAAATACACAGTTGTGTGCATTGCCTCACACCAAAAAATGGAAGGGACAACTAATTCAAAAGGTAATGACTTGATTGTCTCCAAAATATGCCGATGTTTGCGTTTGGCAATCCCATTTTGCTGAGGAGTGTATGTGCAACTTTTCTTGGAAAAGATCCCTTTATCAGAGAAGAGGGAAGAAAACTCTTTTGGATGGTATTCCCCACCTGAGTCAGACCGGAGGGCCCTGATTTTTCTATTGAATTGAGTCTCCACAAGATTACTAAATGTTTTGAATTTAGACACAACCTCAGATTTATGACGAAGAAAATAAATCCAAGTAAACCATGAATGATCATCAATAAATGTGACGTAGTATTTATAACCAAGCCTACGGAATTTGGGTGCTATTGCCCAAACATCTGTGTGAATAATATCAAAAAGATCAGTATGTCAGGAGGACTGAACCGGAAATAGCAAAACGTGGCTTTTAATTAAACAACATGACATACATTTCAAATGTAACAAAGTAGTAAACTTCCTGGTATTCAAAGGGCAATTCAACCAACCCCGCTTAAATAAAAAATAAAGTTTATCATTATTCAAATGACCAAGGCAACAATGCCAAATAGTCCACAAATTATTCTTAAAGCTAACAGAAGATGCAACCAATGCTCCAAGTCCCACATCCAACAACTACTCCCTGTCCCGATCACTTTCCCCGTTTGCCGGTCCTATATCACACAACCAGAAGATGTAAACTGAACTACATAGTATCAACCAATTGTCTGACAAATAACAAATTAGTAGATAAATTAAGAACAAAGTAAACACTAGATATGTTAAGAAGTTGGTTTTGGGGAGTAGAGATGGTAATAAAACCAACACCATAAATAGGCATATTTTGGCCATTTGCAATTTGAATATTTTCAGTTCCAGGATAAGGTTTAGATTTATTAAGCCTACGCTCTACAGAAGTTATATGGTTAGACACCCCTGAGTCAATAACCCAAGAGGAGGGAGAAGTGAATGTAGGAGAGGAGGTTGAGTTGTACCAACCATTAATACCCATGGAGGTAAATGTAGATGCAACGCAAGCATTAATCATCTCTCGAATCTGATCTGGTGTGAAAAGAATGGCCTGCGAGGAAGACTCACTTGCAGTGGCAGGATCAACTTGGGCATGGAATGCAGATGGATTTTGATGTTGTGCTGAAGCCTTAGTTTTCCTTGATAGGCGTCTTCGACACTCAGAAATGATATGCCCAAATTTCTTGCAGTAATTGCAGAAGTTCTTCTTTTTGCAATAGCGAGCAATGTGGCCAGATTGCTTACATTCAAAGCATTGTACAAGTCTGCTATTTGTAGAAAGAACAACTGTCTCGCTTGAAGCCGACGCATGAAAGGATTTTGAATCTTCTATGATGACATGCTGTGACTGAAGGCAAAGTTCCTCTCTTAAAACCTCTTGGAAACATGTATCTAAATCTGGAGCAGTTTCTCCATTCATCAAAGCAGCCCGAACAGACTCAAATTCTGGGTGTAGTGTCATCAATAACTGATTAACATGGGACTCTTCTATGATGACATGTTGCGTCTGAAGGCAAAGTTCCTCTCTCAAAACCTCTTGGAAACATGTATCTAAATCTGGAGCAGTTTCTCCATTCATCAAAGTAGCCCAACCAGATGACATGTTGCGTCTGAAGGCGAAGTTCCTCTCTCAAAACCTCTTGGAAACATGTATCTAAATCTGGAGCAGTTTCTATATTCATCAAAGTAGCCCAAACAGACTCAAATTAAGGGCGTAGTGTCATCAAGAACTGATTAACATGGGACTCCTCTTGCAATTTCAGTACTTGTGAATGTGTGGCAGCGTCAACACCATCTAGGATCATAGAATCCTTCTCATGCCAGAATGCAAGGAAGCCATTGTAGTATTCTTGTACAGTCTTATTGCCTTTACTGTATTTAGCCAATTCTATGTCAATTTAGTACTTTCTTAGATTTGTTAGTCTGGTGATAGACTTTCTTCAGATGTTTCCACATCTCTGAGGCTTTACTAAAGGACTGAAGGGACAAGGTGATTGAAAGATCAACGGAATTCAAGATCCAAGTAACCACCTTTGAATTGTTTTGGATCCATGTGACTCTAGGTTTGTCATCAGTGGGTTCAACCGCTGACAATAATTCAGCCAATCTTTGTCCTTGGACAAAATGTTTGAGATGGAAAGACCACCCCACATAGTTGACACCTCCACTAAGGCAAACAAGAATGATGTCACTTTTATCCATAGCAGCGTTTGATCAGAGATGAAATGCAAGAATTTGAATAGATTTCAACAGTTGTTAGTCAAAATAAAGCAAGGAGACCAATCAGCAAAGATAGCAGAGTTTACTGAGAGGTTGATGATGATGTCAACCAAATTCGGGCAAATAATTGAACAACTATTGGAACCAGAGTGTAATCAAAGAATGAAAAGTTGTCAAACAGACCTAGACAGAGATTTGAACAAATATATAAGCCACATTGCAGCAAAGAATGAAGAGTCAAACCAGATCAAACAGAAAACAGAACAGATTTCTAAACCAAAGTGTAATTAAAGAATGAAAATACAATTCTTTGACTAACCTTGCTCTGATACCATGTAAAGAAGAGAAAACAAAGCCACAACAGATTTTCGGATGTGGAAGTAATATATTCCCTTTGGTTCTCATTACAACTTATAATACAAGATTGGCTAAACAAAGTGGCTACAATCAAGGAGTAGTAACTACAGCAGCTATCTAAAAGGTAAGTCAACTAATCTAATCCCATAATTACAGCAACTTTATTTAGGGTAAGTCAATGCTATCTAATATAATCCCTAATTGTAAGGCATAATTATTGTTACTATTTTACAAACACCCCTAAGGCTTACTTTTTGGGTACATAACACCCCTCTTTTACTTTGGGTACATAACTCCCTTAAAAATTTTAAAATGTTGCAAACTAGGGCATTTCAGCAGTCAACCGTTAGAAAAGTACCCGTTAACAAACCACGGGCTTCGCACATGACTAATTAATTGTATTAAATACAAAAAAGCCCTTATTTGATTCCGAAAATGCCCTTACCCTTTTTGTATATAAAGGTCATAATAGTCCGTTTACATTAATTGAATTTTTTACTATTTTTTAGTAGAATCGTGTAGAATCACAAATAGAAGATTCTGGGAAATTTTTTGTTTGGGCCTGGTTCACTTTCGTAAGTGTTGGGTTCTCTAAATAAGAAAGGTCCACAGTTTTGGGGCCCAAAAAAAGTCCATATAAATAAGGAAAAAAACACTATTTTGCCCTAATCCCCAATTCTGTTTTTTTTTTCTTTGTTGCTGTTCAAATTTTTTTTTTTTTTTTTCCCCCCTGTTTCTGATCAATTTTTTATTTTTTTTAAGCATGAAGAATGGACCCTTTAATTCTGTTCTGTTATTTACTTCTTTACATTATGTTTTGTAACTATGTTTAGTTCCTTTTCTAGTTTATTTGTGTTCTCTTCTTTTAAGGGAGCTGTGGGAAGTTTGGATTAGGATTTGGGATTTGTTAACTTATGTTATGGATTAGGATTCAAACCTTCATCTTCTCACACACTTCACAACTTACAAATTGCATAGTTGTCATGAAAGCTCTACCTTTTGAGCTACATTCTCTTTTATATTATATTTGAACTTTGGAATGGTACCTTTATACATTTTTTTTTTTTTTTTTTTTTTTTTTTTTTGGGTGTGTTTTCGCCCTTATTCTTGCTATATTTTACACATTATATTGTTTAAGAAGTTAGTTTGAATTATTTTTTTCACTAGCTGGTAGAATCCTACGATTCTTGATCCGATTCTACGATTCCAATTCTACGGAGCCCAAAACGATTCTACGTAGAATCCCTATTTTAACAACCTTGCTATAGGGGTGTTAAATGCTCGCGACCCTTAACTTAATTCATTTTATATATTTACTTATTTTGCTCACTAATATAATTCAGTGTCTTATTATTTAGAAAATTCCCAAAAATTTCCTGAGATACTTGTTTCTTCAATATGAACCCAATTCAGTAAGAATACGTTTCAAAACAAGCAGAGTAAACAGAAATGAGTTCAAAGGGGAGCTTTAGGTGGCATTATGTTTCTCTAAATGACTGTGTATACTGTGAATACTTTTTAAACACCCCCCAAAAATAAAAAATATTGTGAAAATTTGCTAAGTGTTGGAACAACTAATATAAAAAACACACTACTACTTTTTTTAAATTCATAGAATGCATTCAATTCCTTCTCACATTTTTCTTTCAACCAAAAAGCGGAAGTAAAAAAACATGTACTACCGCAAGGCAAGCACATAGTCAGAGACTAACAAAGCCAACTGTGTGAATGTTTGTTTGAGGCAAGACAATCAAAGCCTATCCCACCCAATCTTGATGGAAATCTAAAAATAAAATACCAACCCCACCTACATCCTTGTTCCAGCGTAACATCCACTCCCACTAGATGCATGTCACTGCTTTTTCAAGTGCCCTGTCCCACACCAATTCTAAGGAGAAAAATAACAAAACATGGAATACAATGAAGCATTATGCTATCTTATTATTGGTTTACCTGAACAAGTTGATCCTCAGTTAGAGCTGACAAACTAACTAAAATTGGGAAGCGTCCAATAAACTCTGGTATGAGCCCATATGCAATAAGATCACTACTCTCTACCTGAAAATATGAGAACCCATCAGAACTGTGAAGTAATTGGGCTATGAATAGGCAAACCGAAAAGGGATTCAATTGTTTGATTGAAATAGGCCAGCACAGAAAAATCAAAAATAAGAATCAGAAACCCCAATATTTGGATAAGGTCTCGATTCTCACAGATTCCAATAAGTTTGAAGTCACTACAGCATTAGTTAATCCACCAGTTCTCATGTTGGCACGAACAGGTGCTCCAAAACCAATTGAAGAATCCTGCCGTCTGGTAAACAACACAGTGGATAACAAGGTTTTCAAACCTTCCTCAATCTTTACATAAAACAAACAATGTGCAGTAGACAATTTCAACGAGGAAACAACAATTATACGATTACCTCTCTGAAATGGTTTTCTCCAAATCAACAAATGCTCCACCACAGATAAATAGAATATCTTTTGTATCTATCTGCAGAATATTTAAATGTAATGAAAAATATCAGAGCAACAAAGTAACAGCTAAGATGAGACAATGATGAATATCATGGCAAAAAATAAGTAGCTCTCTATAAAGCAGGCATCCCTTTTAGGTCTAAAACCTCAAGTAAACTATAAAGTACGTGCATTTGAGAGAAAATTCAGACTGAATTTATCTAGGTTTATTTGTAGTTATCCTTATACATTGAGTTGATTTAGTATAATAATTATATTGCTTTTATAAAGGGGTGATTTCTTCTTCCCTGGTCTCTTTCTTTCTCACTCTATGATTCCTTCCTTCTCTCCCTAATTTCTTCTTCTCATCTACATGTATCTTCCCCCATTTCACCCTACATCAGAGGCACCAAAATGAAAATTTTGAGTTGCATCGTGGGATATACATTCTACTGTTATGACTACAGATTGGAAAGCACACACCCTATTCTACAACAGTAGAACATCCAAGTGCCAAACATTTGAAGAATCCAGGCCCTGATGCCTTAAATGAGAATAAAGTGTGAATTTTATCAAACTGTAGAGAGCACATTGTGATGCAGAGCATAGACTGGCCTATGAACCAACACTAGACTAGGCAGCTACCCTAAGGACTGCAATAAGATAAGAATGTCATGACTGCTGCACAATGTTTTTGCAGAGATATTTTGTGTGTATTTGATAGAGATAGTGTGCTTTTTTAGTGATTAAGTTCTCATATATTTTGTACTTCCTTAGTTGTTAAGGAAGCTTATGGAAGAAGCTTTGTTAAGAAACTTATGGAGGAAGCTTTGTTAGGAAACTTTTGTAGGAAGCGTTGGGGTGCCTATAAAAAGGCATGTATGTAACTCATCTAATCAGTTTTGGATTGAGATTATATTGAGACTATTGAGTCTCAGAGTCTTCCCTCTTTTCTTCTTCTTCTTCCCCTATTCTTGTTGTTCTTTACCCCTTAGCCAGTCTAGCCTACCTCTTTACTCTGTTTCCTCGCCCCCTTCATCTGTTTCTCCCCCTTTTCTTCTAGTCTCATCTCATCTTCTAATTCCCACCCCCTTCTTTCATTCTAATCCAAAAATTGTATCAAAGCAGGCCTACTCCTCCTGTGTCAATTGGTATCAGAGCTACCTATCCTACACGTCCTGCGTCACATTGTTTTTAAACTTGTTTATCATTTCTTTTTCATGATTAACAATGCCATGATGTCAAAACCAATTATAACTATTTGTGCTGCTGATGTTTTTGGGGATTGTGGTCCTTCCTTGGTGTGTGGGTGGGGACTTCAATGTGGTTAGATCATCGACTGAGAGATCTACAGGCGGGGAGGTGGTCCTTGGCTATGATGCAGTTCTTGGAGTTTATTGATGGCCATCACCTTTTTGACTTTCCTTTGGAGGGTGTGGCCTTGGTCTAGCGGTAGGGAGTCCCCCACTCTTTCCCGGCTAGATAGATTTTTTATTTTTGGGGATTGGGAGGAGAGATTCCCAGATGTTTTTCAGGCGGCTTTAGCTAGTGTGACCTCTGATGATATTCCGTTAACGCTAGATTGTGGTGCTTTGAGATCTCGGCGTACTCCTTTCAGATTTGAGAATACATGGCTTAGAGCGGAGGATTTCCAGGGGAGAGTTCGGTCTTGGTGAGAGGAGGCAACGGTGATTGGTACGTCGAGTTGGTTGAGAAGCTTCGTTTCTTGAGGGCAGAGCTTAATAGATGGAATTGTAAATAGTGACAATAATCATGCCTTACATTTAGGATTATATTAGCTGATGCAGGCAGAAATTCAAATTTTCAGAAACTTTCCATATTTTGAAAGATTCTTTATTTTGAGTAGTTTTCTGATTTTCAGTAGCTTTCCTGTTTTGGTTTTATTTTATATTTGGTAGTTAGCTAATATAAGGCCAAGATTGGGGAGAAAGAAACTATACATAAAGCATTGTAATTGCTAGCGTTTAGAGATTAGTGAATGGATTATTATTTTTACAGAAAATAAAGTTTGCTTCGCAACTTTGCAATTCTCCTTTCTCTAGCATCGTTCTTGATATTGTTGTGAAGACAATTTGAACGTATCCTCTTGGTAAGGCGGCATCAATTTGGTATCAGAGCTAAAACCTCTTGGTAACTGATGGCGCCCTACCAAGACGAGACGATCAAATCGTCTTCACAGCAATTGTAAAACGAAATAAATGAACGATGCAAAAGAAAAGGAGAAATTGCAAAGAATTGCAAAGCAAATTTTATTTGCTATAAAATATAATAGTAATCTCTTCGACTTAAACTGATTGAACCTAGAAATTACAAGGCTTTATATAGAATTTCTTCCTCCCTAATCCTAGCTTTATATTAGCTAACTACCAAATATAAAATAAAATAAAAATAGTAAAGCTGCTGAAAATAGAAATAGAAAACTACTAAAAAAGAAAAGCTGTTGAAAATCAGAAAACTACTCAAAATAAAGAATCTTTCAAAATATGGAAAGTTTATGAAAATTTGAAATTCTGCCGGCATCAGTCTCCCTGGATTGGAAAGAACTCGCCCTCGAGTTTGGAGCAATTTTTCCACGATCAATCAAAAATCCAAGCATTGCTTTCCATCCCTTCTTTCTTCTTTTCTGAATTCGAACCAAATACGTTAATCTTCCTATACTAACAAAAAATACACTCGCATAATAAACATGGATTTTTCTAGAGGTCCTTTGAAATTAGGTAGGTTTGCAAAACTCGGTGGAACATGTATCTTGAAGTCCAAGTGTAATCAACGTTAATTTTTCTTCCAACAATTGCCTAGCAATTGAATTGCGCTCCAAAAATTCATCCCAAACCACATCATAAAAGTAAAATCCATTGTTTTTCATCTCCATGGATCCAAAATCTTCATGATCAACCAGGAATACTTCATCTTGAGATCTTTCTTTTGTAGCTTCCTTATCATCCTCATATTTTAGAATCAATGGTGGCTTTTGCATAACCAAGAATTCACCTATATCTCCATATATGATATCATCCCCTTCCTTCAGGTAATCATCATATTTTGGCTTGACCATTGGGGTTGCATCATCTTCCTCGATCAAAAGTTGTTTTTCGTCTCCACCAAAATTTCCCACCAATTCAGGAATTTCCTCCATAAACTCACCATCCCAATGACTTTCATCAAGTAGAACAAGTGTTGGTTTAGGTGTTGTATTGCTGCAAAAAGGACTGAAAAAATCCTCTTCAACAAAACCAGAAATCTGGAAATTGATATTTGTCGGCCAACAACGATCAGTCCGCTCGTCGAGTGATCTATGGCGACATGAAAAATACGAATTTTTCATAATAATCTCGCTTTCGTGTTGCTTGGGTAAGGGTTCAACCAAATTCCGCATCCTACGATTTTCTCCTCTCGGTTGTTGTCGTGGAGGCATGATTGAGCAATCGGAAAGCCGAAACCTTAGCTTTGATACCAAACTAATGCCGCTTTACCAAGAGGAGACAATCAAATCGTCTTCACAACAATTGTAAAACGAAATAAATGAACAATGCAAGAGAAAAGGAGAAATTGCAAAGCAAATTTTATTTGCTATAAAACATAATAGTAATCTCTTCAACTAAAACTGATTGAACCCAGAAATTACAAGGCTTTATATAGAATTTCTTCCTCCCCAATCCTAGCCTTATATTAGCTAACTACCAAATATAAAATAAAACCAAAATAGTAAAGTTGCTGAAAATAAAAATAGAAATCTACTCAAAAAGAAAAGCTGTTGAAAATCAGAAAACTACTCAAACTAAAGAATCTTTCAAAATAATGAAAGTTTATGAAAATTTGAAATTCTGCCTGCATCATTAGCTAGCATTGACCTACTTAATATAGTTGCTATAATTATGGGATTTCATTAGGTGATTTACCTTTTACATACATACTGTAATTACTCCTCCGTGATTGTAGCCACTTGTTTGGCAAATTTTGTAATATAAATAGTAATGAAAACCAAAGGGAGTAGTTACTGGTACTTTTGACATTATCCATACAGACGTTTGGGGAATTGCACCCAAATTCAATAGGCCTGGTTATTAATACTATGTCACATTCATTGATGATCACTCCCCGTTTACATAGATTTATTTTCTTCGTCATAAATCTGAGGTTTTGTCCACATTCAAAAGAAATCAATAATCTTGTGGAAACTCAATTCAATAGAAAAATTAAGGCCCTCCAGTCTGACTTAGGTGGGGAATACATTCTTAAAGAGTTATCTTCCTTTTTCTCTGATAAAGGGATCCTTTCCCAGAAAACCTTCCCACACATTCCTCAACAAAATGGGATTGCCGAACAGAAACATCGGCATATTCTAGAGACAACAAGGCCTCATTATTTGAATCAGCAGTCTGTTCAGGTTTTTTGTGTGAGGCAGTGCACACTGCTGTCTATTTGATTAATAGATTGCCCACTCATGTGCTTGAGAATATTTCCCCATGTGGATCTTTATTTCATTCTCCTCCTTACACACACTTGCGTACGTTTAGATGCCTTTGTTTCGTTCATCTTCCTTCCTTGGAAAGAAACAAACTGTCACAGCAAGCAACTAAGTGTGTGTTCCTTGGCTATAGTGATGAACATAAAGATTTTTATGCTATGATCCAGAGGCTCGAAGAACACGTATATCCCGCAATGTGGTCTTCCTTGAGCATATTCCCTTTTATTCTCTTCGAAAGTTGTCTTATATATCAAATATTACTTACCTTCCTCATTTTCCTAGCTCTACTAAAGAATTGCAGGTTTATAGTTGAAGGTTGCAACGTCCTCTCTGCTCCTACTCTCGATCACTCTCCATGCCACCTGAAATCTCCCTACCTCCACGTCATTCTTCTCGTGTTTCTAAACCGCCTGCCCGCTTTAGATTTTCTGCCTTCCTTTCCATTGTAGATTCTATTTCTGTTCCTTCATTTTATTCACAGGCCAAAGATCTACCATGTTGGCAAGATGCTATGACAGAAGAATTAATTGCACTTGAATCAAATTACA